TGCTAAGTAGAGCAGCGTAATAGGTTTCTCAAGATATAAAACAAACTCCCCCAAAAATATACAGATCAGACATACCCTGCCAGGAGAAGTACTGAATGTTTAAAATGAGGGAAGAGATTAAAAGAGGCTGCATTTTCCTGGCAGCCCTCTATATGTGCATATAAACCTCTCGTAACCAGCGCACTGATATTTAAACTAATTAGCACCAGGAAAGCCACGGGACTATGCTTTTCTATCAGCCTATTCACATGGGCAGAAGGACTGAAAATGACTATGATTACATACAGCTCACGTATCAGAATGCAGCAGTCCACAGTCCCTGCCACACCCCCTTCCTCCCCTAAGTAGCAAGGCGAGAGAAACATGGTGCAGGACACATTTCAAATGGAAAAAAATAACCCCACTAAACAAAATGCTCACTCAGCATTATGCTAGAAGATAAAAATAGAAAGCAGGAGAGCTGGTACTGAATATCAAGCAGCATTCCCTATTCATTGCAACACAGTGTGGGCAAGAGAGAACCCAAATCAACTTTCCCTTCACTTTGTTCTCTTGGAGGCTGCGCGTTGTTTGAATTTCCGATTCCTCATAAACACGCCAGTAGGGAATTAGCTTTGGGGAGCTGTGGACTCGCACATCCACCACCATTGCAATGGCAACCCCCCACCAGCCTCTCAAAATAGCTCATGACTTAGAGAGGAGAAAGGACAGGCTAGGCTGGTGGGGTTTTTGTGAATATTCAACACTTTTGCACAGCAGGCCTGCCTCTTATTAGTATAGGGGATGTCAAAGAAGCTGCCTCTCACGCAAAGTTTCCATTCCAACTAATTAGCAGTGGCTTCCTCCAGCATATAAATTTGGGCTTTAGTCCCTTGTACAAGAGCACACAGGACAGGAAGGGGGAAAAGGAGCAGAGATCGGGAATGTTTGCAGTCATCTTTGCTAAGTTAAAGGCTAAAAATTAAATCTCTAGTCACAGGTAAGAGAGAGGGAACCAACACACACTTGCCTCCACACATTGAGAGGATGGTTCCAATTCTAGGATGGGCGGAATCTCCTTCTGGAGTACGTCCCCACAGCATTCGTCTATGGAAAGAGCTGAGACGACTGGACAGCTAACTAGAAGCAACAAGTCCCTTTATAAATAGCGGCAGAGGCCAGTGATTTGGGTCAGAATGAAGCCAGTCCAGGATGGGACTGTCATCCCTGCTTCTGCCATCCAGACCATAAAACATCTCCCAGAATTGCTCTGGGGCTGGAGAAAGTAACTCATTTCTCCCCTTCTCCATTGTCCCCAGGGATCAGCCATGTCCCAGCTGGCAGGACCTGCCTGAGGATAAATCTACCCTCGGCCCGTCAGAGCTAGGGAAGCCTTTTGGGTTACTCTTTGGCTTTTCAGCTGTCTGCTGCAGTGAAGCCTGCAGTTTTGGGCACCTTGAGGTCCCACGCAAGTTGGTCTTGATTGTGCCAAACTGCTCTCACAAAAGCAAAGGCTCTGAGTGACCTAAGTCCTAAAAGCAAATGCTTTGCACATAAACTGCTCAATTCAGAGTCTTCTCCAGGCTTAGAAGTGTACTTCTGAAAAAAAAAATACTGAAAGCTTTTAAAAGTTGACTCAGTTTGATCCTATTTACTTCTTTCCTGCTTCTTGAAATTAGGAGAGATATAAAAAAATCATTGCATGGCTCTACATGTACCACCCTCTGGTGCTTCAGTTTTCTTATCCCCACCTACGAAGTGGGAACAATACACCTTACCTACTCCATAGAAAATTACTAAAGCTTGTGCTCAGACTTGCAGACGCTCACTTGTTAGGACAGCTTGGGCATAGAAGAGAGCCATGAGCAGTAAGAAATAACACAGGTCTGTGTTACGCACATGCGTACTCCTAGGATGAAGATGAGATGCAGCACAGGATTAGACACTTGCCCTTCTCTCCTTTCCTGCTACCACCACTTATTTCTGCAACTGCATTTTGCCATCCCTGCTGTCTGGACAGATGGATTAAGATGCAGCCAGCTGCGAAATGATGGACACTGTTACCAGATGTGACAAATGAGAGTGACAAGCAGTGGTCTTGACAAGCAGGGTTCCTCCTTGGGCTTAGGATCAGCCTCTCAGCCCAGACTCCTGGGTTAGCAGATAGTTAAGACCTGCCACTTCTAAATCACACATACAACTCTACCCCCCCCCCCCCCAAAAAAAAAAAAAAAAGAAAAAAAAGAAAAAAGGAGGAAGGGAAGGGGAGGGGAGGGAAATGTTTTTTGCCAAAATCTGCACATTGCACAGAGCAAAGAATAAGCAGCCTCTGAGGGTTCCCAAGGCAGCTGCTCATCAACAGCTCTGCATTTTCGCCTGACATGTAGTGATACCAATGCTCTTTTTGCACAACCGCCCAGATCTCCCCAAGGGCCCAGATGGCACCAATGCCGCTAAGACAAGCCCGATGGTTTGTCAGTCTCCTCTTGCTCTCTCTCCACCTCACGCACTCCCATTCAAGATAGAAATCAGGCACAGTTTCTGCAGAAGCCTGGCCTCTGGTTTGGAAGGATAACTTACTCCCTTCTGTGCTAGCTCTGCCACCTGACTGGTCGTCAGCTGTCAGTGAATGCACCTGACAAGAGATACCCAAGCCCACATATCTTATCTCAAATTTATACATCTTGCCAAAGAAGAAATTTCTTTCTGGCAAAGAGGTGATTTACAGACCCGTAAATCTTCACTCAGCTTGGGGCAGAGGCGACAGATGAATTTTCCAGCACTGCTATTGTGAGCCATATTTATATATCCTACTCTTGCAGCACTTAACACAGTACCTCTGATTTATAAACCCCGGCACAGGTTTCACACCTGCATATTGGCTGTAATGCAGGCTGAGCAACAAGCTGCCTAATGGCAGCGCTGAACAAGTCTCTGAGGGCGTCTTGATCAGCACCCAAAACCAATTCTCTGTCCCAGTGATGCACAGGCCTTTGGCACGCCCGTGTCTGAGCCGAACATCACATGAGTCTCTGTGCTCATGAGAAGCTCATTTCCCTTTCTAGTTCCACATCCTTCCTAGGTATCACCGCTGGAGAAGCAAAGTTCCTTAACTAACCCTTCCCAAACTTCAGCAGTATTTTTGGTTTGCTGAAGTTTCACTTTTCCGTTGCCTTTGTAACAGTGCTCTAATGTCAGGCTCTATTTGCAATCAGAAACGGGTCTGGTTTTATTGAGATGACTCAGGACACAGGCCATCTTGTTTCTCATGCATTCAGTAGCAATACTGTGTCAAAACAGAATAGCACCTTGGTTTCCACACAGGGCCTGAAGGAAAGCTATGAAGGCTGCAAAACTTATGGCTCCTCTTAAGAGATTAAGAAAGTATTTGATTAATTAAGGTAGATCAAACATATCCATGCACTGGCCAGCCCCAGATCCTGGACATGGAAATGGTTTATATGAATAACACACCTGATGATATGCCGAGGTAGGGCTTGCATACTGCGCAACAGGATACTTCATTGCTGTAACAGCAACTCTGCAGTCGCCTACCTTTATTCTGGCCCCGAGGACGAACAGCTCTATTGGATTTGGATCATTTTATCTTCCAGGAGCTTAGATGTTCAGCATGCCTATAACCAAAACAGCCCTCCTAAATTGAAAGGAGCAGTTTATGTCTGGGAAGCAAGGTGGGACCAAAAGGGAAGGGAGAGAAAAGGAAGGGCTGAACTCCTTGTCTATCTATCCTCTGGCTTGTGTCTCAGCCCACAAAAAATCAGGAAAGAGAAAAGAAGTGATGCAAGATGGCATTCCAGAAAGTCACAAGTGACTGAAATAGCAGTGGTCCATCCTTGCACGTGTTCCCTGGAAGCCAACACCCAACGCAAGCAGGCTGGAGAAGTCAGTCTCACTCACTGCCAACTTACTGCTTCTATGATACAAAAACACAGACAGAGGCCAGGTCCTCCCTGGAAATCACATTTCAGGAAGGCAGTTCATCAGATATCAAAGGGAAAATGAATACAATAAAGGACTGGTAAGGAAGACAAGTAACGGGGAGGAAAAGAGCCACACAGACACAACTGCAGAAGGTCAGTTCCCCCTCTCAATTCCAGCAGGGAGATTCCTGGCTCCCAGATCATCCTTTGTTTGTCTGCCCTAGAGGAACAATAAGGGCTAAATCCCTTCTGCCCTATTCACTAGAAAACTCCCCTTGCATCACGTTAGCTGCCAGCTAGCAAATTGTTTTTGGACAATCCAGAGTCTTATACGTTGGGTACCAGTGAAACCAGACTCACAAATGACACAAATCCGAAACAAGACCATGGAATAACCAAGGTCTCCAGACCTCAAACACACAGCACAGCATAGGTGAAGAGCAACCCCCCACACAAGCAAGGAAACATATCAGACAAATGGTACAATTTTTGCCATCTTTTCTGAATTTTTCCCAGAGAAAGACATGGACATCCCCAGGCCCACAACAGCTTTTACTTCTCCCCGCTAGAAGCGTCATTCACAAAAAAAAGAACAAAGTGGATTGTGCCTATATTTGCAAAACACTTTGGGAAAGAATCAGTGACATGAATTTGTCACCAAGACAGTGCTGGTAGCAGTACCAAACCCAAAAGACACATGGTTAAAAAGGGAAGGAAAAAAAAAAAAAAGATGATCATCAAAACCACAGCGCAAATCTATAGGCGATCTGAAACGTCACAGTTGCCTCCACCTGCAAGGAACACTCGGCCAAAGAAATGGGAGGCCCAATGCCTCCGTTAGACCATAAAGCCTCCGATATACATTGACGGGAAACTAATCCAGAGGGGAAAGGATAATGCACCTATTCTTTTATTGCTACAAAATAACTCCAACAACAAAAAAATCCCCATCTGTAGCTGAAGGAACCACAGATTCAGGAAGCTGTTAGTAAAGCATATTGTTAGTTTCCGAGGCTAAACACGTGGCAGGTAAATACTACCCCTGAAGCGGGCAGAGGCATATTTCAAACAACACCTTACCCTACTGATTTGCAGCTTCTCAGCTCCAGGCTTGAAGAGGTTCCATCGACGTCCACCGTTCCTGCAGTTCCCGCGCACCTTCAGAGTCTTTGAAGCCTGTTCGTTCTCAGCTGCCAGGATAAAATCCACAGAAAAAAAAAAGGAACGACAAAAGATAAATGCTGTGCTTTAGCTCAGGCTGGGGGCGGAGGCTGTTCTTTTAAATGAAAGAAACAAAATTGTTTGCAAGAGACTCATTCAACCTCTTCTTTAGAAAAAGAGAGCAGAGAGTATATTTAGGTGCTTTATTCAGTGCTCTTGGGATACAAGAAAAATAGCGCAGCTTGGATACTACAAAAACGCAGGCACAAACTAAGAGCCGAGAGCCAAATTCAGAGGTGGTGTAAGCAGGTGAGGTCAGACAAGCTGGGTGTGAAGCCAGAATGCTCTCCCAGGAGCACCGGGCAGCACAAGAGCCTCATCTGCATGCACCAGTATTAAGAGTGCAATAGCTCCTTGGGTCATAACCGCTAACAGCACCTCTGCAGTTTGGACCTGCAGAAATCCCAGCTTTACAGTCGTTGTGGTCCGTATGATGCAATGCTTTGAAAAAGAAACAGCTCCTCGAATTTATGCAGAAAACAGAAATGGAAAAGTCCATAAAAGCTGTTTTTAAAGAAACTGGGCTGCTTCTCACCCCGAGCATTTCAGGCCAATCCCTCACAGATGCAATTCTGGTCTAGCTTTAAGCGAGCTATACCATTTATACCAAATCTCAGCCTGGCCTTACAGATGGTACCTACCCAAGCACAGAACAGCTTGTGAAGAGGTAAATGGTGGAGGAGGGCTGGCAACTCACCTTTCAAAATTAAGCTTTGCTTTTCTAATCAACACAAATTTTCAGCTCCCCATCCTATCCCTCTCTTTTTGGGGTGAAAATGCCATTCTGTGTGAGACCAGGGTTTTTCCCTCCCACATTTGGCAAGGTTAGATTTCAATCCCTTCCTCTGTCAGACTCTTCGCATCCCCTAGCCTGGAGTGACAGCCACTGGGAGGAAGGAAGCAGAGCTGAGCACTGCTCGTGCCCCCACGGCGGCTGCCAGCACAGGCTCCTGTCAGCAGGTGCACGTGGTCCGGCCAGCGCACGTATTGTGCCTGTGTATGCATACACACCCCCATGGGTGTTCCCATCCCCTGGAGGCTTGCCATCCCGTTCACGGAGAAAGGCACCTACAGAAAACAGCCAAATTCTGGAATTCTTCCCTGGAAGATGCACAACGCTAATTTTCTTTTCTCCTGATGCACCTCTAACCCAGGCAGAGGTTTCAGACTGTGTCAGTCCTGAGGGGTTTGAAACCAGATAACAAAGCATAAATGGTCCCAGGGTTTGGGAGAGTGGAGATCCACACCCCCGTTCCTGGGGTTTCAGGTCACCTTTACCTTACAGGGGCAAAACGCACACACACGCTACATGCTCCCTGCCCCCAGATCAAATAGGTGGGGACCCTGCTCTGCCCAGGACAGTGGCACAGAGTGCAGCAGAGCTGGGACCCTGCTGCAGCCCTGGCATGGCTGGGTGGGCAGCAATCCTAATTTTCTTCCAGCGTTGCTGGGAGAGAGATTGCACTGAGACCTATTTCCTAAACGCGATGCTGACGCAGGCAGCCTGCTGTTATTTTTAGCAACACACGTTTCACTTTCTAGACTCACAGAAAATCAAGCTGCAGAGCGAGCGCCGATTATAGCAAGAGGCTGCTACCAGGCTCCAGAGGCAACGTGCCGACATAGTAGCACTCAGGAGCAATGTGCAAACACAGTAATGCTCACATTTTGAGAGCTGCGTGTGTTACTCCCCATGTGCTAGAAACGTGTGCACCCCGACAGAAGAGCCATCAATTAAAAAGGCAGCCACTTTGCCTTTTCCTTCCTAGTTCTTCTTAACCCTGATGTGCTGCCACCATCCATTAACTACTTGGATCCCTCGTGTGCTCCTGAGCAATGCCAGCACAGTCTGGCAGCGCTCCCGTACTTGCCCATTGCTAAATCACAGGATTCTTGGTGTTAGCAGTATCCCTTCAGGAAATAATTTCCTTACTCTAATTATCCATCTTTTTAATTAGAGGTTCAAAAAATGATGTCATCTATTGAACCATCAGCCTATTTACCTGCCAACACAAGACCCTTCCAGCAAATACATTCTGTAGTGCTTTCTCTAGCGTCGTTTTGACCAGGACAAATGCAGACGATAGCTCATCATAGTCTTTGGCTCATGAGATTCTCTGCTTGATCAGGAAGAGTACCCAAGCATAGGAGGAAAAAAACCTCACTTCTTGCTGTGTTTCCAAACAAACATGAGACTGGAGTTGTGATCTCAGTATCCACCACCACTTGCCACCTCCAAATGGCAAGTACTCACAACAGAGGCTGGTAAGAGGACAGAAAGCCAAGAGGAAACTACCAAACGAAAACTCACACAGAAGTTGCTGAACAGCTTTTACACCTTATGTGCCTATCTGTTCATCTTCTCATAACCAAATTATAGGGACTGTGTTCAGAGACATTAGAGAGAGAAAATAGCCTTATTTCATAAAGACCCTGTATACAAAAAGATCTTATTAGCTAGCAAGAAACTCCATAGCATGTGGCTATCAGAGCTCCCTCACCTGGCTCCAGGGTTGTAACAAGCATGGATGCAAGCCACGCTTCTGACTTTTCAACCCATACTGCCCTTGGCTTGCTCTGCAAGGATGGGTGAGACCAAAAAAACAAACCTGGGAGAGAAACACCGCAAAGCTACTCACCGCGTCTTCTGAGCAAGTGCTGCATGCGCCCTCCCACCTGGTCCAGCCCCATCGGGGTGCTCTGGGAGAGGGGTTCGGAGCGACATCTCTCCACAAGGACTTTGAAGGGTGGTGCTTGTGGGGATGGTTGAGAGGGATGAGACATCGGCTGGCAAGAAAAGGGTCAGAGAAGAATTTTACCAGTATGTGTCACACCTCAGACAAAGCAATCACAGAACATACAATATAATATAATTTTCAAGACAGTGCAACACCTTAGACTTTCTCACTGCAACCTGCACCCACTTCATTTTTTTTTTGCCTGAAAGATTAAGACTTGCTGGCTCTGGTGTTGGAGTGCCCTAACTCCCATTGCATGGGGCTCATACCTTGAACACACCTCACGGCGTTTATGTCCAACAACTTCCAGCGGCACGTAGCCTCTGAGGCACTTCATCACGTGTTACTCTCATCCAGCGGCACGTAGCCTCTGAGGCACTTCTGAGAGTAACACGTGATGAAGACGTCTGCTTTCTGCACAGCATTTAGTCTACTCTCACGTTACCAAGTCCCAGCAGGAGCACACACAGGGAGTGAACGAGCTGGTGCCGAGGACCCAGGAGAGCTAAAACATTTTGGGTTGGCTTTATGACGTGCAATGAGGGCTGGCTGCTTTCTAAGGGACAGCAAACCAGCAGCCAAAGAGATAACCTGGTTGGCAGGATGGGGCCTCACCCGCCAGCCCCATGCTACAGTGCCCAAGCAAGGGACCAGGCCACGTCTGGAGACAGTGGCCAGGGTCAGCTAGACTTCAGATCATTAGGCACATTCATGGTGATGAAGCAGGTCCAAGGTAAAGCAGGTGAGTCAGTTTACAGATCAGGGTCAGGCCCAGTGAGGGTAATCAAGGTCAGACAAAGCCCCGTGACCATTGGGCAGGTCCATGGTGGTGAGCCAGCTCCAGGTCAAGCCAGGAAATCATGCCTCGGGTCGGTGTCTAGCCCAGCGGGGCCCGTGGCCAGGCAAAGGCACAGCTGTGGCTGAGCTGGAGAGCAGCACTCCTCCCATGTTGCTCAAGGAAGGACTGAGCACCCAGGGCAGAGCTTAAATGGGCTGCCAGGCCCATGGGTACGGTGTGGAGGCCCCAGGTGAGACTGCTTAGGGTCATTAGGAGCAATGAGTGCATTCCAAGCACCGTGAGGGGGGACAACTGGGAGGTCTGCTTCAACAGGCACTCCTGAACTGAGCTAGGAGATGCATCCTTTGGTGGTCTACAGGAAACTGTTAATTTCTGCTTTTTTTGTGCTGGGTTACAGCTATCAGTCACCACTGGTCTCCATGTACAGCCATGCTCAAGAGACGTGTGAGTAAGAAGTGGAAAATGGACCAAGAGGATTCTTCACAAAGACCTCCAGCACTTGAAAGACATCGCCATGGAGTAGAGCAATGAGTCTGCAATGATGAGGTTTAGGAGAACAGTCTGTTTATGTGTGTGCTCATCCAGCAGCGTAATAATAGGATCTGCCCATCCTATTATAAAAATAAAAGTTACAAGTTCTTAGAATAAAGCTGGGATACCCATCAAGAATAAATCCTGCAAAACTCAAGAGTCTTCCTGATAATAAGATCCATGTAAAAGTGAATTAAATTAGTAACAGGATGTCATTTTCCTCATTCCCAAAAATCTTAACAAAACACTCCCTTCCAGGTATTTCCAGAGGTCATATAAGGTCTTTTCCAACTCCATAAACAGAAGCCTACGGATGGTCTACAAAGAGGACAGGAGGTGAATAAACATAACAGCATTGCTATTATTGCTGTGCTGCTGGAGTCGTCGGGAGGGTGCAGAGAGCCTTCTGGGGAGAGAAAGGACTCTTCATGTGTAGATGGATTTGAATCACTTTGGTGGAATACATAACAGCAAAAGAACATATCAGACCCACTGACTGTCCTCCTTCAAAAGCTGAGTCTTGCATCACTTAGCGGCTAACAAAGATCTAATACAAAGGCACCAACCCTCCTGCAACCCAGTATCTGTAAAATCAAGTCTCTTTATAAGCACAGCTGCTTTTCTTTCAAGATACTTCCTACCCACCCTACATCTTCTTCTGGCAGCTTCTGGTGTGACTGGGGAGATGTACCCAGCTGCTTGCAGATGGCCTGGCCTTGCTCTGTATGAAATCCACCAAGGACCATCGGCTTCGGACCATGCTTCAGCCCTTTGTGTTATCCTTATGAGTTTTTCTAGGTCTTTTCCCAAAATACTGGTTTTTAGCTTATTGTAGGACATGAAACACAGGTAATATTCCCCGCTGATCAAAACAGGTCCAAAGTCCTGCTACTGCTGCTAAAAGGTTAGCTCCTAATCACATTGCCCAGCACTTCTAACGCTTGCTCTTTACAGCAGCACCGTTTGGACCAGAACAGGGTCCCGAAGCACCCAGTGCGCACACACACACAGAGCTGGGCACAATGTACTGAACGGAGTTGGTCTGCACCTTCCTCTGAACATCTGGTACAGGGGGCCACCGACAACACACCCCTCTACACCATTTTCTCTCTAATGTATGTAGCACCTACCACCACAATTGGGGGGTTTTTCAGTTATTATGGTGTGCCTCATTTCCAGGGAGAACACAAGTTACAGCCCTTGCCAGGTTTCAGATGGTCCAAATGCAAGGGTGGGGCAAACCACAGCACTTAAAAGTAAACTGGGACCTCCTTCTCGTTCTCTGAAAATGCCCAGGTATGTTTTTAGCAAAACTAGAACAATTATTTTTCCTGAAAGATTCACAGAGGAAAGCAGAAATTATCACGGTAGTTTCTCTGGAAGCTGACTGATAGCAACTGCTAACAAGACACGTCCTCTGTATCAACAGCCTATGAAATATTACTTGAAACAGTAAGATACTTGCAATTGATTGCATAAAGTGGTCAAATACCCCAGTTATACCTTAAGATTTGGTAACATTAATCCAAAGAATGAATTAGCATTTATAGCTAACTGGAGAAAAAGGTTGGAGTTTCCCTCACTTTTGGGTGACCCCAACTTCTATTATCCTATTTCAGGAGGAAAAGACCCTGAAAGAGACAACTTGTACAGCGATATTTTGCAGAATGGAATTTTCTTTTAAAAAAAAAAAATCACCATTCAAACTCCTACTTTTCATTTTATTCTCTGACATGTGACACCAGGAAAGTCTTGTGTATAATCTTAAGAGTCAAGAAATCAGCAGAAAAATCAGTTTACAAAGGACAGGAGAAGAAAACAGGAGGAGCTCCTCACTGGGAGGCTTCTAGCCTCAATTAGAGACAGAATTGTCATACTTCCGCGGCCCTGCTAATAACTGGGTGCCTCATGGTTTGGTGTATCTGTCCTCCAGACTCCAGCAGCCCCAGTTTTCACTGGTGTGCTATTATCTTTATTTACAGATGAAGAACGAAGCGGACAGGCTATAATTACCCCAAAGGCACAGTGGGAGTCTGTGGACGAATTAAGGCTTGACCTCCCGTTCCCTGCTCCCAGCACCAGCCCCGTGTCCAGTGACCCAGTACGCTTCTCTTGACTGGATAATGGCTGGGAGGAGGTAAAAGCCAAAGAAAACCTTCCACCCAGAGAAGTTTCAGACAAATAGTCCCTTTAGCATATAGGCCAGCAATGCCCAGAGGTCCCCATTCATATCACTACTCTGATGGCACCAAGGATGGCAGGAGGTGGCCTGTTGTAACTTTGAGGCTGGGAACTAGATGAAGGCAAGACCCAACAAGTATTTTAAGAAAACATGTGGAAATCTGAATTATCCATGTGTTCAGTAGCTGGTTATATATACATGTAAAGCCTATCAGCTTTGCAAACTCAACCTGCCTTGCCAAACTCAACCATGCTAAAAATATGTTTCCCAAAAAAACCCTACCCCACTATAGATAGCACTAAATATAGGCCTTAATTCAAGATTTTCCTAACACCTCGTGGTTATTAAAAATATGAAAATCTGAACAGCTTGGAGATAGGCTTTAGAGGTTTTGCCTCCACTAAAAATAAGATGATTGTCAGACATAACCATATTAAAAGCCATAAATACGCAGAATCTTCATTCTGCAATTAAATCTTAACCTCGCTACAGACAGGAGTATAGTGTTCTTTTGGCAACGGCAGGATTTAGAAAGTAAAGTACTATTTCTTAATTTGGAAGGACTATGAATTCTTTTGTAAGCACAACTACCAGCAGTAGGCTGAGACACAACCCAGTTTACTGCCAATAACCCGGAGATGAAGAGAGCTCTGACGATCAGCTCTCAGAAACAGCCTTTTCCTGGCTAGTGTCATTCAACAGAGCAGGGAGGGAAAAGACAAATCGACTCAGCAGTCCCATTTCTGCAGCTGCTCCCAAAATGTTCTGTAGCAGAGAGACCATAAAACAACCTCAAGCTAACGGTCACTATGAGAACTTGTTGCACATCACTTGCAATTTCTCATCAAACACAGACAAAGAAAGTTGCTGTATCTTCCTCTCCTGAAAAGGCACTTGCAGCTGCTGCACTAAAGTAAAACACCAAACCTGTGGGAGGATCTGAGATGTTCCCCAGCTATCGGATCGCAAATCTGCAAAGGCATCCTCTGGCATGCGCACGCTCAGGCAAATCAGTAATCCTGTGCTTCCAGTTAGACCCACCGCACAGGGAGAGTCTCCGATTTTCCCACACAGAGCAACACAGTGTGCAGCTATCGCACGGAAATCACAGAACCTACTAACGCCGTGAAAGCACCGATCCTGCGCCATCAGTATGGGCCACTCCGCAACAGGGAGTGCCTTTATGGCACCTGGACCGGTTGGCTCCTAAGTACGGGACTCAGAGGAACAAACTCGACGGCTGCTCAAGGGAAGCATCTGCAACCATCTGCTGCGATCCTGAGAAGTGAGTTCGATCAGACAGCCCCTTACAGGGCTCTGAAACCAAACTGGCTGGGAAACCCGGGGCATCCCGGGTCAGCCTGCCACCTCATCCTATGGGACGGCCACCTTTTGCCCAGGTTGACAAGCCTGTACAAATCTCATTTTCACATTTCTGGCAATCATAAATTCCCCCGGAAAATGGCATCACAAAACCAACTGCTGTCTACGTGCAGCCACAACAGCCAGCAGCAAGCTGCAGTCTGTAAACCTTTTGGAGATAAAATTCAAAATCCTAAGGAAAAAGATAAGGTTTTCTGTTCCGTAAAAATAAACTCTTATTTCACAAATAAACCAGCAGAGGGCATAGAAAGACTGCAGTGAAAACCCTCTGCTCCTTCACCGCAAGAGTGACACAAGCCAAAACGCTCTGCAGTGCCCCGTCCCTGTGTGTGCCCCTGAGACACAAGCCAAAACGCTCTGCAGTGCCCCATCCCTGTGTGTGCCCCTGAGATGAGCGGGGAGGATCTCTCTGCCAGCCATAAGCCTGAATCAAGTTTCTGGGTCCTAAAAACTCTGAACTGATGCCTGAAATCTGAAGTCAGATGCATATTTTGCAACCTTTCCTCGTGTCATTCCCAAAGGAGGTATCAAATCCCTCACAAACCCTATCCAAGGACACATCAGGTGGTTTGAAACCCCGATGGAAAAGCCAGAACCGCAAAGTAGTCTATGTGGTATCAAATCTTCCCTCCACCTAAGCATCATCTCAAGCTACTGGAAGTGGTCAAATACAACTTCTGGGGCTGACTCCCTGCAGCAGCATTCTCCCTGATGGGATGCTGTGGTGTTTTCAGAGGTGGGATGAGGATCATTCACTTCAGTGGCGACATGGAAAATGGAAACTTTTGTAGTTTGCAACTGTCCAAAATCTAGTAAAACCTCCATATCATCTTTCAGTTCATTTCTCATATATACCTCTCAAAATAAGGAAGGCACTTTCATTCCAGAGTTGCAGCAGTGTGAGTGGTGAAATCAGTAATTCATTTCCCATTGACAATCTATTTTGACCTTTACTGTTCTTTCAAATCCTCAAAATGTTTCTATCGCCACTGTTTCATAAATTCCCAGAACAAACGACAATTTGGGATGGGGTCTGAAAGCAACTAGGCAGGGGGACAGTTTGAGAAGTAAGTGGTTTTCTACCTTTCTACAGCTGCTCTTAAAATGCTGCTGCAATGCTACTTCCTTCACAGCATTAAGATCAATTCCTGTTGAGCTGTTACTTGCCTGTAACATCACTCAGCTCCTGCCCAAAGACATTAAAGTTTTAAAAGGCAAAACTAGGAAAGCAAGAAACAGGGGCATTAATTGCAGGAGAGTACAGCTAAACAGATTTGCTACACCGCTAGGACCAATGCACGGGTCCCCTAAATCCCACTCCAGCAATCTTTGTGCTACACCAGCCTCATTCTCTTCTATCACCTCCCTTGGGCAGGGAGCCTCAGTAAGAACCAGCGCTTTTGTGCTTTTTGTGGGACAATATGTAGGTTGTTTTGAAAATATTTGCCTGAGCTATTTCCGCTCTACACTGCTAGCACACTTTAAAACTGCTGGAGCGCTCGCTTACAGCAGCTGACCAAGCCAAGCCACCCCGTCCTGGCAGCACCTTCTCCCTACTTGTGGTTGAGCGTTTCACTTGAAATACAAATCCTTCAATTAACGCAGAGCAGCCTGGAGTGGAGGCAGGAGGGCCAACAACTGTCCTGGGGAACAGGTGCCAGCAAAGAGCTGGATTTAGCGCTAAAACAATAACAGGCTGGAGTCTGCTGCTACTGTCACGCTCAGGCTGAAGTTATTCCTCTTGCATGTTTATTTTTGGTGAAACGTTTCCGAGTGCCGCTCCCTGATGAGAGATAGGCAAGCGAATCCCTCGGGTATCTCAGGACATTTGTTACTGGAGCTGCTGGCGGACTCTCTAGGTCCGTTCCTATCCAAGAGTATCCCTTCTTTAGCCTCACTCTTGACTGCTCTAGGTTTGATGCTGCCGCCAGATCACTGTGCGTTTCTAAATCTCTAGTCCGAGTTTCTGGGTTGCAGAAGGTGTTTACAAACCAGGGCGGGCTGTACGCTTTCCCTTCCATCCCGCTCCTGCTTCTGCCTAGTGAGGCAGCAGGCCTTCCGCGAAGCCGGAAGCCACGGCAGTCCAGAGGTCGTACTGCTATCGCCACACTCGACGGGAACTCGGGGGAGGTTTCCTGTCCAGTTATCTCAAGTACCATATTTAAGTTTCTTGGTAATGTTTCTAAGCTGCAACAGCTGAGCTGGGACTTACTGCATCTCCTGTTCACGCAGGTGACCTGGGAAATTGCTCAGATTTTGCCCTAAGAGCTCTGCGATTAGGCATGCAGCCATCGCCCTCAGCTAGCAGAGATGTGGCTGCTCTGGGAAAAGAGTGCCAATACTTTCCTTTTCCTTTCGTGCCTCTGTTATCTTGCTCCTGCCCAGAATACTTTCAGTTTGGTCCCTGTGAAGGGATATCAAACCACAGCCCTTCTCATTCAAGCTCCTCCTAAAAACATTTCTTCTGGAGACCACAAGAAGTGACTAACCGCTATTCACCCCACTTCGTAAGTGCCTGGAATTACACAGCGAGCTGTCTTTATTTTTTTGTATTACACAAAACGGAGCAGAAAAACAAATCCAGGAATAACTAACAATGGTACTGCCCATTTTAGCTAGGAGTCAGAAGTTCAGATTTTTTTCCCCCGGCATTTCTAATCTGCTGCCAATTTTCAAACACTTCCCCTCTTGGCTCAGAAGTTACAGTGACCCCTTTTCTAACAGGGAACGATGTCATCACCTCTGTAACATCTCTGGTCTCTCCAAGCCCAAAAGGAAAGGAGAAAGTTTCTTCACGAATTGACCCAATTCCCTACCTGGCACCTTAAAACAAACAAAAAAAAGTCATCGTTTCAGCCTCAGCTAATCAGCAGGGACCCAAAAGAAAACAGCTGGGCTTCACGCTGGGTCCTACCATGGGTTGTCCACAAACCTGTACTGATTCTACAACTGGCATGGAGCGACGTGAGCCTCGGTAGACTCTTCCGTGGCTGAGCAGGGTGCAAAACTGCCTCTCCTGTGAGACACAAGGCTGGGCCGTGCTGGCAAGTGACCTGGCACAGCTGATAGGACTGCTACCGCTCACGGATTTCTGCTCCACACACAGCGATATGTGCGCAGGTGCTACAGCAATGAGCTGAGAGTTAATGGGGGAGTCTATCGGCTTCAGGAAGCCTTTTCTCATCCTGTATGTACGATTCCCTTATCCATGGGACTTCTGAGGTTTCCTAGCATTAAGCTGGACGATACAGATTTGTAATATCCAGAACCTAGTCCAAAATGCAATGTCCACTGAAATGTTTTGACAATTTTAAGGGCTTTGAAAGGCTTGCTTATAACAAACAGGAATGCACTGCCATAATTACAGCCACCACCACTGCCCACCTTTCACTTAGGGCTGGGTATTTAACACCCCAAAAGGCTATGTCATTTTGTGTAGAGGCAGATGCAAGGCAGCTCTGACCAGGCGCCCACTTGGTGTGTAGTCACATTAGGAAGGCATTTTGCTCACACTACGCACCCAACCAGAAAAAAAAGCAAGGCTTTCTGCTACAGGCTCAGCACCAAACTATAGAGGCCACACAACTTCTGACAGGTTTGGAGCAGGGAGAGAGCTCATTTAGATCTGCCAGAGAAATGATCTGATGAGCTTTACAAGACATGGGCCGCCTTTTTTTTTTTTCCTGTTCTTGCACTGTGTGCCAGGACTCTGACTGGTATTCTAGATGCTGCGTTGTAACCAGCATCACCTAACAAAAATCAACGACCACCACCCCTACTACTTTTTCAGGTAAGAAAACACAAGGGCCATAGTGCAATTGCTGAATGCCATTTGTCCACGGCACACTTCAAAACTCTGAATTTGTCAAAAGCACTCTTCTTACAAGTTTCGACTTCAAATGAACTAAATGCAGCAAGGAAAAAAATTAAAGGTAGCGCCTAGAAATACATACATTTCTGCTACAGCCCTCTTCTAGAGGCACTGATACAAACAAATGGCCAAAGGGTCGTAGGAGGAGCAGCTCTGAAGGTTTACACTAACAGGTCAGGGATATGCCAGTTAACTGACTCCTCTCAGGCTGATGTAAAAGCTGTGACTACTGCCATCATTCATATGACGGTCTACTTAACTGAAAATCCCAATGAGGAATATATAAAAATGCTTTCAAGTGCAAACCATCTTCATAAGGTGCGTAACAGTATGGTCTTATTGAAAACATTACAGTAAAAGGTACTCATACCTTTCCGTTTTTGAGCCGTCCGGAGGAGACAATTCTAGAGACGTGCACTTGGAACGGACGGCACTCGTCGTTACAGTTAAACTGTTCCCCTCTGTCAGTTACCTCTACAGAGTTTTGTTCTACAAATGAAGTGGTTCCGCACTTTTTAATGTGGCGATCAGTCTGCTCTAAAACCTGTCCTTTAACTGTTGCACATTTTATAAAAGTCACTACAGAAAAGTCACCATCAGCAACTGGAGAACAGCCCAGGTCCGCAGCATCCAGATTATTCACAGGAAGATCTTGAGAATGTGGCAGGGCCCTGCCCACAACCTGTGTCTTCTCTGGAGTACTGCCAGTGTCCTGAATCCCCAGCTCACCTCTAGACAAGTCTTGCAAAGACAGCTCAGGATTTCTTAAGTCCTGCATATCCAGTTCTGTCTTTGAAAGCTCCTGAGCCACTGCTGGAGACGGACCTGTGTCTTTAGCAACCACTGGAGCACAAGCCATGTCCTCAGTATCAAGTTTAGTCAGGGTCATCTGTGGAAGGTGGATCACAGCCTCAGTCACTGCAGAAAAGTCACCATCAGCAGCTGGAGAACAGCCCAGGTCCGCAGCATCCAGATTATTCACAGGAAGATCTTGAGAATGTGGCAGGGCCCTGCCCACAACCTGTGTCTTCTCTGGAGTACTGCCAGTGTCCTGAATCCCCAGCTCACCTCTAGACAAGTCTTGCAAAGACAGCTCAGGATTTCTTAAGTCCTGCATATCCAGTTCTGTCTTTGAAAGCTCCTGAGCCACTGCTGGAGGCGGATCCCTGTCTTCAGTAACCACTGGAGCACAAGCCACGTCCTCAGTATCAAGTTTAGTCAGCGATGTCTGTGGAAGGTGGATCACAGCCTCAGTTGCTGCAGAAAAGTCACCATCTGCAGCTGAAAAACAGCCCAGGTCCGCAGTATCCAGATTATTCACAGGAAGACCTTGAGAACATGGCAGGTCCCTGCCCGTGACCTGTGTCTTCTCTGGAGTACTGCCCGAATCCTGAATCTGTTTAGTCAGAGTCGTCTGTGGGAAGTTGATCAGATCCTCAGAGGAGTCTTTAGTATTTAGCTCAGTGAGAGAGTCGTCTGCGAGCTCTGGCAGGTGGGAGATGGATGATTCTGGCTCAAAGGGAGAAAGTGATGTTTCATTAAATCTATCATTCTCGCTGCCCAGGGCAGAGGAGCCAATGTCTTGCGACACTTCTGTCATTTTGCACTGCTGCATGGGCTCCTTCCCCACCAAACTCTCAAAGCTCAGATTGTCCCATGTGCCTGAATCTGGGGACTGCAGACACGCTCCCACCGTGCAGAAGGCCCTTGCACTCTCGTTCTCGATAACCAAGCCCTCTTTCTGGGAGGTAACATCCTGCCTCCAGCTTCGGAAACTCCGCTGAGGCCTTTTCTCATCAGGTGAAAATGCCCTTGAGGAGCCTCGCAGCCTCCGAGCTGCCTCGGCCACACTGCTGAAGAACTTCACAACACCCCCAAAGTGAGTGGCTTTGGTTGCACTGTTTGATTTTTTCCGCTGGCTGAGATTCTCCTCACATCTCGTATCAAAGTCAAAATAAGAAGTAGAATGATCAGTTATATTTTCTAAGTTCTGGAAATTGGTTTCAGCCCTTTGATCTGGAAGCTTTGAATTATCTTTGCTAGTTAATGAAATTCCTTTCAGATAGCTCCATACATCAGAGCTTCTTCCTCTTCTGCTCTCCTGTGGCAGCACAGTACACCTCTTTTGATTGTCCCCTTCTGTAATTGCAGGACTCTTAAAGTTTTCAAAATTCAAAGACTCGCTCTTTCTAGCTGGTATTCTATGGCAGTTACTATCATTATCTTCACTGTGTAATCTGACACTAATATCCCTGAGACATTTACTTTCATTGGCATCAATTTCAGGAATGCTGATATTCAGCTCTATGTCTTCAAAAGAAGAATCCAAATCGTCAATGTACCCCGCATACGAGTGGCGGGAGGGCCTCCGACTGTCACCCAGTTTCTTAACCCTGTAGACAGCTCTTTGCCCGCTGGCATGATGGTCCTCCTCAGGGTCACAAGCAACCTGGACTCTGGATGCCCTCAAATCCACATTCTTAGGCATCCTGGAGGTTCTTCCCTTTTTTAACGGCCTTACCCTGTCCATGAAGGATGGTTTTTTTAATTCTGAGACCTCAGAGGTAACTCCCAGTAGGATCATGGACTGGGGTCTTCCTTTATTCGTAGAGAGTCCTTTCCTTCGTCTAACAAAATTCCAGATCCGGTTGCCCTTGGTTGTCTTCTTATACCTGGGTGCTTCCTCCCGTTCATTCGGGATTGCATCGCTGGAGGTGCAGTGCTCAGCACCACAGACCTCCAACGCGTCAGTACTCCCTTCCTCCATGTTTGCTTGGAAAATCCTGTTTGCATATCCATTTGGAGCTATCACGGGACCGGTATGCCGACGGGCCGCTACAACTTCCATCGCCCTGGCTCACAAGCTGGTATCAGGGGTCATAGATGCATTGTCTTCAGATTGTTTTCTTCACAAGACTTAAGGAAAAAAGAACAAAGGAATGCAATTAGGAGCAGAAAGGTTTTTTAGAAGACATACTTGTTAAAGCATCACAGGTCAAATCTTATCCCAGTGGCAGTGGTGGTTTTGCCACTGATTTCAGTGAGGCTGAAATTTTGCTCCCAAACCATATAAATTTTAAAGCAATTTAAATGACTGAAGATTTAGTGACCGCAAATAAACTTCCTGCATTAATAAAGTTACCACAAAGTATACGCAGAATACCATAAATCACATCTTCATTTTGCAAATCGCTAGGACTCTAAATACGTCAGAGTACATGACAGAGGGGAAAAGAGGAAATTACAGTAAAACGTCCCTTCTGTCATCTTCACCAGTCCCATCTGCCAGGAACCAGCGATGCACTCCCGACGAGTTCAGTCTCTTCAGGCAGGCATTCAAAGAAAAGTCAGGATAAGCCTTTTCCTGGAACCAATGCAATTCTGAAATACTACAATATCAGAAAACTCATGGAATATCCAAGCCAGGTTTTTCCTACTACAGCTATGGCACCAGCATGGGAATCCCTTGCTGGAACTGGACTGCTAAATGAAAGCTGCTTGGCCACCACTCAATGCTACACAAAACACGTGTTCCCCTCAAGTGAGTTCCACCCTAAGTGAACAGGATTAAAACTACAAGTACTACCCCATATGCAGCAGCAATGGAAACCACTCCAAACCCTTTGTAGGAATACATTTGAACTCCTGCTCGTACAGATCCTAATCCTTCCACTGGTGTACCTCTGCCCTGTCTCGCTGCTACAGCTTCCTAAGGTGGTCCTGGGTTTGCTGTCTGCCTTCGTGACATGCAGAACTACATGCCAGGCACTAAACGGTGTTAAATTCCCTCAATTCCCAATCCTACTCTCAGGAGGAAGAAGGAAGCAAGAGTAGGAACAAGAAGAGGTACAGCCCCAGAGACACGGGTTTGACAATGGAAAAGCTCTCCATTTTCCCCCAAGCAGAGGGAGAACAGGCAGTCACACGGCAGCGCTTTGACACAAAGGCATGAAGCTCACTCCCGCTCTCATCCATTTCACTCTTACTGCTCTATGAACAGTCCCCATATCTATAAAAAAACCCATTACACTCACTATTTCTATTAAAACGAAGGTTATTAATGCAGCAGGTACTGCCCTGGACACCTCATGGACAAGGAAAGGCTCACCCTTGCATTCAGTCAAATAAGCCACTGTTTCTACTTTGCCACCACGTCTATCCTCAATAAACGATAACCCATGAGACCTCCACGGATGGCAGAGGCACCAAGGAACCAGAGCACAGCCAAGTGAGGTCAAAAACCTTAACAGAAACAACTACTATCCTGCTTTTTTATGAACCACTGTCACCTGGCTTTTGCTACAGCCATGACACAGAGGTTGTGCCAAGCATTTCTGGCACCAACGGTACTTAGGGTAGCAAAAATGAATGTTTGCTACTGTGGTGGGTTGACCGTGGCCAGCTGCCAGATGTCCACCCCACCGCGCTATCGCTCCCGCTCCCCAAACAGGACAGGGGGAAAAAGTAAGACGGAAAAGCTCATGGGTTGATATAAAGATATGGAGACGCCTTATCAACTACTGTCACAGGCAAAACAGACTCAACTTGGGGAAAATTAATTTTATTTATTGCCAATTAAAATCGATTTGGATAATGAGAAACCAAGATAAAACTAACACAACCTTTTTTTTGGGAGAGGTACGGTCAGGACATAACAGTTCCTCTCTCTGCCGCTCCCTCCTCCTCATGCTTTTCCCGTGCTCCTGTGTGAGGCCTCCACAGGCCGCGATCCCTGTCAGGGAACATCCCCCTGCTCCAGCACCTCCTCCCCGCCGTCTTCACTGACCTCGGGGGTCACAGCGCTGTTTCTCACTTTTTTTTATCCCCCCCTCACTCCTCTCTGGCATTTTCGCCCTTTCTTAAATATGTTTCCAGAGAGGCGCTGGCAGCGCCGCTGACGGGCTCCGCTCTGGGCTGTGGTGCGGCCGCCATGGAACCGGCCGTGCCCGGCACGGGGCAGCCCCGCCTTTCCTCACAGCGGCCCCCGCAGCCCCCGGTACCAACACCTCACCAAATACACCCCATACAGTTACACAGCCTAACTGTACAGCGGTTATCTTCCACGCACGCCGCCTCGCTCCGCTTTGGCCATCTATTTACTCAGCCCACTGCCTTTTGTACTCGCCACGATGGAGATTTCGAAATAGAACCTCCTTCCCCAGGCAAAGGCCTGTTCTGGGGCCTCGACACCGCCTGCCACCACTTAAACCCTGTAGCACAAATTCACACAGGAGCTGTGTTGCCCTGGGTCCATACGGAGACCACAGAAAGCTTTTGTTCGCAAAAAACCAAGGGTTTAGCAGGACTGTTCCTCCATCTGGTGCTTGAGGAGGAGACCGGCTCCTCATTCCCCGGGCTGTCGCTCTGGGTCTGCGAGTTATTCACAGACATCCCTGCTGCAATTTAAAGAGTAACACATTTGAATGGATTTGAAGGAGTGAAAAAAAAAAAAGAGCATTTGAGTAGTTTCAAGTTGTGCAGCCAACTGGCAGCAAAAGACAAAAATCACAAAAGGTCCCTATTTTTTTGTTTTTTCTTTCCAGTTTTATGTTTTATTGTTTTCGGCTGGGTGGATCCTGCATGAGGAAAGAAGATTCAAAGGGAACAGGCTTGTCTGCGAAGTCTTTGGAGGGATGCTAGCACAGAGGAGAGAGAGGCTGTTTCTCATGTGTCGAGCAAAAGAGAGCCTGTAACAGGAGACAGATCCTGCGCGGCCCTCCGCAGAGAAGCAACACAACCCAGAAACACAGGGCGCAAGGGTGGCTTTAAAATTTAAAAAAATGTATATTTAATTTTTTTAAAGCAGCTTTAAACCAGATGTAAATTAGAGCCGCCACCACGAAGCCAGACCTGAGCGCCCTAAGCAGATAGGGGACCAGTGCTTGGTGGCTCCTCTCCGCCTTCCCTTCCACGGCAGCCTCACCCGAACCTCTCCTAATCTTTGAAACCATCATGGTTGCTTTGACAGAGCTCTCCCTGAGGGATAAATGGAATAGCAGGACACAGGCATGGTGCTCAAAAGGCCTTTTGATTGGCTGCTAGCAAATATTCGGTGTGAGAAAAGCACCTTGTTGTTGTCTAATTCACACCAACTAAGCCTGCAGGACTGCACACACTGAAATCATTGGCTAACCTTGGCAGGAGCCAACTCACAGCGGTGCGGCTTCGTTAGCGCCCGCGGTCCCAGCACTGTCACCTGAACCAGATCCAGCCCGAGGACCGGCCTTGCCTCACCCAGAGCAAAGCCTCCCAGCACTGAGGCAAATTCTCTGCACTTGAACAAATTTCAGCCAGCTTCGCTCAGTC